ACGAAATAACAAAATATCTCACTGGATAATCTGAGTAGCTATAAACCTCTCAGATTGGTCTGAAGGCTCCACCGTACAGAAACGAGATATATCTAACACTGTCTTGACTAAGCGTAAGTCAACATTAAAGCCTACTCCTAACATAGAAGCATAAGCATGACACTTTCCCTCATATTACACTTAAAATGAAGTATACACTTCTTCGACTGAAAAGATTTCTTGATTGAAACAAATTTTGGTTGATGTTTTACACCTAATCGAAACTCAAAGTCAGTGATAAAAGTGGTATTATCGCATACATATACCCTTACTAGAATCTGAAAAATATTCTGCTGGTCGTTTTGCAGTCATGTCGCTAACAAAATAATGGACTCAATACTTTTCTGGACTACAGTTGTTTGAAGTTTTAGTATATTATGAAACCATTATTGTGTTATTTACTTCCACTTAGCCACAACCGTTGTGTCTTTTGTACGTTTAATTTATGCTACTTAATCAAAATGAGTAGCAAGTGTGCATGTTTAAATTTATTGGCTCAAAACGCCATTGAGTATGTTAGCCATACTTTGTGTTTAGCATATTGGCATCTCAGCGCATCAAAACTACTTGCCGTTGCCGTACTAAGCTTTTATCCATCCAGTTTGCTTCATGTATACTGTGTCCTACCTTAAATCCTCGGTTAGCATAAACTTTTTCCGCTTATTCCGAATTTTTCTCTGACTTCCATTCACAACCCAAGTTCGACATTGCACAGGCCTTGATTGTTTCACGTTTTCTCAGGATCCAATTATTAGGAAACACACTTTACGAGGCACTTACAACCTGGGCACCTCATCGTCTGACTTTCTCATTTTTATTAATCAGCTTCATTATTTTGGTGATATGGTATGATATTCTACAAAAATCCGGTGCTTTGACTCCAGACTCTAAAGCGTAACTCAAGTGTTTGGTTTTCTAGAATAAAGCTTTACTTCAACATCTAGTTTTACAGTTCCCGCCGTGAGCATTACAGAACTTGAAATCTGATTACAAGTATCAATGCCTAGGTACAGGTGTTTCCGAAATACCACAAGGCCGAACAATAAAGCGGAAGGATAAGAATATTGTGAGAAATCTCATACAATCTACTAATGAACTACCTCTACGGCGAGCTGAATTTTATCTTTGCTGTTTCTTCTATTTATGTCTGCCAACACACTCCTGAAGTCTTTGTATATCACTAGGTTCTTGTAGACCTGAGAAAACATGAGATTCTGCCATTCAAACTAGTAGGGTTTCAACCTCACCTAAGCGAGCATTACTAATGTATGCACCCATGATTTCATATCCCTCCAGGGTCAAAATTTGAAATATAAGCTTTTCTGAAACAGCAAATAAATATGTATGTTTGTGGGAATTATTGGACCCCAATAAAATCAGTGTATGCCAATTATAAATTTCGGGGGAAAAATTACTGAGCAAACCAAACGGTAGTAACTTGGTTGATTGTGGGTAGTAGGGGAACCCAGGACGCGCGTTTCGTCCTACTTGGGATACGCCAGCTGCCTGCACCTCCACCCCAGTAAGCTATATTATCCCCACCGACGCTCGATGCTGCTGCGCATCAGCTCAAACGCCAAAGCGTTATCCACTATGTCACGGCGAAATGATGTACAATCAACTAAATTGCAATAATTAACATTCAGACAATGTTGAGACACCCGCATAGGAGTCCATATGCCAATAGAGGTTGAACAATTTGATCCAATGAAACAACGGAGAATTAAAAGTATATCAATAAAAAGTAAATAATAATTGCAAACTTTGAGCGTCGTTTCATCAGAATGCTAAGATATGTAAACCAGATCATACCACCTTCTTAATATAAGTAGTGATTTAAATGTACTGTGAAACTCTCTGCCAATGAAGTGACCGAGTGAAGTAAGAAGCAGGTAGTAATGGTACTGAATAAAGCGAAACACTACAATTGAATCTCAATATGACTATCCCCCCTTAACAACTTATTCTTCACTGACTCACGCAAATATACTTAAAAAAAGGATGACTTGTGACTAAAAGGACGATGATGACTTTATTTGATAAGCAGTTCCTACACATTAAACTGTCCTAGGCCAAGGATAGAATAACGCAATCTTATTGGCTACTTCATATACGGAATCGTCCAATAAGGTTACTTTGTCCATATAAACCAGAAAGTGAAACAAAATTACTTCCATCCCATTGGTTGATGACTTAAAATGTTGATTTCCACTTCTAGCCGTTTCCTGTCACCAACACTCGAAAGTAACAATCTATTTTTAAGTTTCATTTATTCTGTATAGTGAGACTATTCATAAATTTGGGTAGTTAACACCTATTTCAGTCGGTTAGAAGCGAATATCGGTGTAATTTCATCTCTCAGCTAAGCTGACTCCATAAAAGTCTTGAATGGATCCATTTTTCATTTTGATTTCAACACGAAATTTAAACAAGTTGATCATCACATTGTCAAGTGGTACTAGTTCCACTGTCTACGTACTTACACTGAGAATGCCAACAGACACCGAGAGATATGTAGATAAGACTGCCAAATTCTAGACAATGGAAGGTTAACACATTGACTGCTACCGATCACGTGTACACTAAGCACTGACATGCTAGAAACTCACTTCAGAAGATGAAGGTATTCTCTTGCCTGGAATTCTGTCCCTTCGTAACAAAGTTAAGACCCTTCTAATAAGCTTTTGAATTGGTGATTGATTCGCCGTATGGCTCAATGATGTATACAGATCGGTTACTAAGAGGTAACATAACAGTTTCTTACCTTGGTCTTAATACCGCATACCAAACATGGTTGACCTCAGGGTCATATCATTTAGCCTGATAACTATACTCCTAACTTAAATGACTTTAGTCAGCATTCAGAAGAGTTGCAGTTGACGTTTAGTGATTAATTAACAGGTCTTTCTATTTGACATGATTCTTCTTTCCACATGCAACATTTCAGGCCGATTTTACTACCTGTTCCACTTACCTCAGTCACTTTTCCTAAACTGTGACATCCTCTTTCTGATCCTGCTTGACAGGATTGTGTATAATCAGTTTAGTTAGCTTGCAGTAGTTATTCGCCTTTTGCGAAGACCATTCACCACATTTCACTTAAGTCATGTTTACCTCTTCCATTGTATATGAAGATTCAATAAAAAAAGTGAATGTTATCTACTTCTCACCCTCATAACTCAAAAGAACTACGCTAATCCAGAAACGTGGACAAGTTTTTAAGCAATAAACAGTGATGATAATCACTTCGATTAAGTTTCAAGAGAATTCCTTACAAAAACTTTCCTGAAGGCCCTTACAGGTAACTAATCTAAATATATCAAGTTCATCAAGAAAATCTCCTCCTTCTTACCCATTGATTCAAGATATTACAAACTGGAGAAAATTTATCACATTATCTCTTTATTGGTTTCAGTACCAAGAATACAAAGTGATAAATACTCTTCTGTCAAGAATTACAACTTGGTTGTATTTTTTTCACTGAGCTGGGTTGTTTAGTCGTGAAGCTTTCATTATCTTTCTGGATGACATCATCAGCACTAACTTCTGTATGAAGTGAGCTGTCACTATCTCTCTGTGAATGATTTAGTGGCTTGCTCTGATGATGTGGTCTGTGATTGGTTGTTTCCTTTGACTGTTGTGTCATCGATTGTATAGACTTTCCTGTTGGCTGTTCATCTGCTTCACCTCTCACCTTTCTGTCGTTTATCATTTTTCTTATTGGTTGATAGATTGGGTCTATGTCTACACATCTATTGATTGCTGACTGACCTGAATGTCAAGCTTCTAGGAATTCTCTGACTTTTTTTATGTTTCCTCTGTCCAAAAATTCTATATTATTATATATTATTAGTCCCTTGGGTTCCGATTGGAACATAGGGCTTCAGTAGCACGTCTCCAGTGACCTCTGTTCTCTGAGATCTTTTGAACCTGGTTCCACGACAGCCCAGAAGCTCTCATTTCCTCCTCGCACGATCTCCTCCATGTCACCCTCGGACGTCCAACTCGTCACTTCCCATGGGGATTCCACTCGAGGGCCTGTCTCTTTTGCAATCTGGGCTGCCTTGCTGGGTGCGGACATTCCATGTCCCCACGTTTACTTTCGCTTTCATTGAGAGAAGATACATCGGCCAACTGGCTTCCCGAAGGCTTTCACCAACTGGCGTCATTTCGCCTCTCCGATTCCAGCGGGGAATAAGTTTGTTTTTATCTTTTATATATCGTTTGTGCTTTGAAGTCTCTTTAGTGGTTAGATTTGTTTTACGGGGTAGGGTTGGTAGCCCTATGCCGAACCTTCCCTCTTTACCCGGGCTTAGGATCGGCTAGTAACTAGTAAACTAGTTAACCAGGCGAGGTTGTCCAAAAATTCTACATTGTCGAAATTGAATTCATCTCCATAGTTGTTATCCACATGCATTGAAATGAGTGATAAAATGTTGTGGCGTTTAATAGCCAACTGGTGTTCATACAGACAAAAGGCAAAGAGGGTGACCGCTTTGTCCAATATACTGTTGACCATAGTTTTCTTTTTAGAAAAACAGATTGGATACTACTAATTTTACAGACTATATTTATAATTCACAGTTTACAAGTATAGACTTGTATTGTAGATATTGTAATTTCTGTTTAATGTCATCTGAATTTTATATATCTTTTCATATGAAACAAATAAGAGGCATAGAATGACTTGAAAAATGTATTAACTTGATTGCTCATAAGTTTTATTAAGGCAATAATCAATGAATTGAAAAAATTATTTGTTTATACCAATTGTATTTGTGTTAATTTCAGTTGATGTTTAGATTATGTCCTCTCTTATCTAACTAAGGTAATCAAAATAAAAGTTTTAGCAATTACATTACATTTGTTTACTATAGACATATTCAATGTGACTTGAAATTACATCTTTTACATAGGTATTTAAGAGAATATGAACATACTAAAAGTATGATAATGTTATAATGCTTACCAAATTTTTATTACATCTTATAGTTTTCTTATTGATTGTATCCATTCTTGATTTAACAAGTGAGTTGGGATCATTTGTAAGTGAATTCTATGCATGTTCACTAAGTTTTTTTAGATTATAGTTATTGGCTTATTCCATGATACATGAAGATGTCTGCTATCTGACTGACTTAATAGTCAGTCAAGTTACTCACCTTCATGTGGAATGATCCAGGTACTAACGTTTCAGGGAATATGAGTCATATTCAGGTTAAAATATTAGTAAAAGTATAGTCTAGATCAACTAAGATTATCTATTGGATAAATTTGATTGGTTGACAGTAAATACTGATAGCAAATGTTTCAGTCACTAGTGTAATATAATCAGTAGTCTAAGTAACAGCAATGGGGGGGGGAGGGGAAATCATAGACTAGCTTTTTAACCATAATACCTAACTTATCCATTAACAATAACAGATATATTTTTTAATTTTATCACTTCAGTTAGCAAAAAGAGCAAGGGTAAGTTTATTTATCAATTCAGAAATTATTGGACTCCTTACGTTACTATAATTCTCCTACAGTGCACGCATTTCACGACTTGAGTATTTATAGACCATTAAAAATAGCACATCATATAGTTGAGAAACTAAAGTTGTTACTATGCTCTAAAGCCTCTGGTAACCACTTTTAAATAATTCATGCCAGTTAGTCGAAAAGAAAACTTAATATCCAAGAGATATATGACCAGAATGTATTGAGCTTACAAATTATCAAGTATTGCTAAAGGTCCTCTAGTTTCCCATCAAATGTGAAACAGAATAAACTAAAGAAACAGAGAAAAATTTAAGTATCCTGACACTACCATTTGCTTTTCATTTTAACATCCCATATGGACAGAAAGAGAAATCCTACTATGCACTGACTGGAAATACCATCTGTATAAAGATGCAAAAATCATACACTCTATTTGTAGAATAAAAGCAAACTGTAGAAGTGATCATTCAGGTTACTTCAAACTCAATGAAAAGTATTTTCTTCAAATATCTAGAAACACAATAAAGTTGGTGAGAAAACACTGTTGACAACTGAAACATCATCACTTGTAAAGGAAAAAATGATAGAGATTCTTCAAAAATGTTAAGGAAAACATACTGAAGTATGATAAACTAATGATCAGACTTCTAGTACTAACTGTTGATCCAATTCTACTATAATCAGGTCACCAATATAGAAGAAAACCGGAGTTGTGTTAGTTTTTAAAATTCTGGCCATCTAGTTAGCATTATTCTGTCATCAGTTTACAATCATATTCTGAATGTAAACCAATAATAAGCCTAGCTTACTCTAACACTTCAGCGTCTACGGCTTGTACATATCAAAATGTGTTTTACGTATGAAGTAAACTTTTCTATTGCAATTTTAATTAGTCAAAGAGAGAGAGAGAGAAGATTGCTTACGCTTTTTAGAGAGACGGAAAGAAAGATGTAAGTTTTATTGATGATAAAAAGGTTTTTAATGTATTCCCTTCATTTTAAAATAATAATATATACATCAGTATAAGCTTACCAAGGTCTAAGGAAAGAATCTTTGAAACTAATTCACTTTACAGGTGAGTAGAAATTTTAATTTTGAGGTAGTATTCATCATGGTTTGATATCAGTTAGGGAATCATTGGAAACCCAGAAGCACTAGACATTTCTTCCGTCTTGGTATGCAGCTATTTGGTAGCACTCATCCACAACACATCTGGGGATTTAATTCAAGACCTTCTGGTTTCAGGGTGAAAGTATTAAGTATTCAGCCATTGACTCACTTTGTTGTTCCTCTTGTAAGCTATTTCATTGAAAAAGTTAGTTTGCAACGAAGATTAATAGTCTTGAATGTGTAACTGTAATTTACCTTACATGGGTTGTTTCACAGTAAAAGTGATTTAGCCAGCAGTAAAATCTTCCTTCTCATCTAACGAGCCAGAGGGTTTTTTTTACAAAAGTGTATCGACGAAAAGTCTGTTTTCGGCAATTTTATTTTCAAAGCTGTACAATACCAAATTTATACATTTTTCTATTGTTGGGATTTGATAGTTAGAAACACGATTTTATCAAGCATGGCAACACAAATAGTGTCAATGTGCATATGTGTATATATCAATTCACCTACTCTTGTGGAACCAGGTATATAGGTCGTTCAGTGCGACTGCTATCCAAATGGGTTCAAGAGGACTATCCAGTGTTGTTACAAAGAGGTAACAATGGAGCGATAAGGAGTGCTATAACTGACCACATCGTAAATACAAATCACCTTGACTCAAGAACTTCCTCGTCCAAAGTCATCTATAGAGTTAAAAGAAACCTTCCGTATGCTGTATATCTTCCTATTCTCTGCATCACCGAAGCTCTTGTCATCCTAAACAATGTACACAAAAGATTGTTCAACCGCTTCTACGTTTTAAGGTCTTAGTTTTCAGTCTTATAAATCTCCTCTACCCACCCCCCTTTCTCTCCATTTTCTGTTTTGACCCCATTCACTCCTTAAGTAATTTTCTGATCTTTCATGATGATATGTTTTTCTTGATCACGGTTCACCTTCAAATTATGTCATCATGTCGGGAAACTTCTTGTCCAAACTTATTCTGATTAATATTCACTACTCAACAGGTTTTGGTTTTTCTATTTTAATGACAACCCATTTATTGACTTGTGTCTAATGTCACACAAAATCGAAGATCTACAAGTGAAAACTAATAAGTTGACAGAAGAGGAGAGGCAGCGAAGACGGGACTTCAAGTGAATGTAGAGAAGACAGAGGTGAAGGTACCCAACGAATACCACCAACAACAGCAAGCTCCAATCACCATCAGTGGAAGAAACTTAAAAGAAGTAGCCTCTTTCACCTATCTGGGCAGCATCGTTTCAACTACAGGCGGTGGTGGTACAGACGAGGACGTCAAAGCCAGGATCGGAAAGACAGCAAGACAGGCCTTCCTTCATTAACCTGAAACCAGTGTGGAGATCTCCTGCATTAAGCATGAACAACATCCGGATTTTGACACCAATTCAATCAAGTCAGTGCTCCTATATGGTTCAAAGACTTGGCGCGTTATGAAAGGCGTTTCCAACAAATTACAGACATTCATCAACAATCGCCTACTCTGGCTCATTACTGAAGATCAGATGAGATGGCCAGAAAGAATAAGCAACAAGGAACTGTGGCTGCTAATGAACCAACCAACAACCTATAGATCAACAAATATGCAGGAGGAAGTGGAGATGGATTGAGCATACACTGAGAAGGCCAACTGGAGACATCACGCGTCATGCCAGACCAGGCCCTGAAGTGGAACCTCAGTGGGAAGTGATGAATTGGTCGTCTGAGGCGAGGGTGACATGGAGGAGATGTTGTGAGGAAGAAATGAGAGGTTGTGGGCAGTCGTGGAGCCAGGTTCAAAAGACTGCAGAGAAGAGAGTGAAATGGTGATGGCGACGTGCTACTGAATCCCTATGTTCCACTAGGAACCCAAGGGACAAATATTAATAATAACAATTTGTGTTGTCATGCTTGTCAAACCGTTTGTTAACTATCAAATCCTTACACTAAAAGATGTGTAAATATGAGATCGTACAGCTTTGAAAATGAAATTACCGCAAAGAGATTCTTCGTTGAAATAGACTTGTTCCTCTTTCATATCCTTCCTGATGGGTATATTTTGTGCATTGAAAGCGTATCACACACATTGTGGTGGAATGATAAAATTATAATCCTCAAGCACTTTATTCCATGTTGCATGGTTTGGGAATTTCACTACTGAACAAAGTTTTAGAGTTTCATAATCGTCCAACTGTAAAACATGACACTGTTGTAATAAGTCATTCAAATTAGTCGATATACTGCGAATATTACTGAATAAATTCCAGTTAGTAAATTGTACTAGAATAAATATAGTTGAAAACTGTCTGGTTGTTGATATATATACTTAATTCAGTAATCCATAAGTGGATTGTAAGCCAGATAAATGAAATGCCACATCGGTATACACAGGAGTTGGTGAAACAAGAGTGAATTGCTTAAGTGGTCAGATTTTGGAGATATGTCATGCCATTGACTATTGCCAAATATGAACTCGTATTACCCATCACTTCCTTCCAAACGTCTGAAAAAATACTGCTAAAATCATGTCAGTTAGGAAAACTACTAATTACAAGGATTGCATTTTATGGTTCACAAGTTTAAATGAAACGTCGCACTGTTATATGTTCAAATTTTAACTGAATTCATGAACAAAAAATACTGTGTGAAAAAACGTGGGATTATACTCTGATCAACTCTTATTCCATAAATGTCATTGTCTTTACAACACAGTGACGAATTGGTTATCAAACTCTGTTTGTCGTCAAAAATCTAACCCTTAATAAATGCTAACAAATCAGATGAATATCTTGATATTGATTTGGGATTCATCAAGGGCTGATATCATTTTGAGAATCTTTAAGAACCTGAGAGCACTGGACAGTTTTTTCGTCCTAGTATGGAACTCTTCAGCAGCACGCCCATGTCCCCTCCATGCAGTCTGAATTACTGTTCACTGTCCACTAGTAACATGCTTAGAGATGAAATCTCTCGGAGTTCTAATAGGGCATCGTAACCAGAGTCGAACTTGAGGATAGTTGCTCAACAACAATATTTGATGATGACTGTACGATATCACAAACCGATAGAAGTAAGGAACTCCCTACCACTGGGTTTCGGTCCACTGCTCCAATGGTAACTTATTCGCCGTGAAAACTGAAAGTCATGGTTTTCATCCCTGGGAAGAAGGGATTTTGGGTCCATGCTAACAAGGAGTCCCACACTATGACGAAATAGCTGTCCAGCTCTCCTAGTTTTTCTGCAGTCCTTCAACTGGTGTCAGACAATGATGACTACCAACTGGAAATTAATAAATCCCCATAAACTTCCACATTACCTTAATGTTGTTAGACCACTGTGAGAATAGCTGTTAAATATTTTGTGAATATCAATCTGAAGAATTAATGTGCGTAATTTGCTGCGTAGGTGACTGTTGAATCCAGGGCGCGCTTTTTATGGTTTTCAGGATCCATCAGCTGGATATACCTTCATCCCAGTGAGTGATGATGTTCCCCTGAGATCTAAACCAGTACCAACTGCTTCAAACGCCAAGGTGTGAACCACTTCGTCACAGATGAAGTTCGTCATAAACGATTAAGGCAATATCCAACTTATAAAACAGATTATTAGGTATTTTGATATTAACGAACGGATTAGAAATAACGACAGTGTTTAAGTTCCGACTGTCAGAATAATAAATCAGAATAGGTGCTCAGACGTAGACATAAAGAGATATACCGAACTGGTAACCCAATGGTCACTGGTTCGAAACCCGCCGCGGTCTAGATTTTCACCTCACCTTCAATTATCACCCAGTATAAATATTAGCCTGCCAAACTACGGCTATCTCAGATAGTCAAATGATAATCAATATGATGCTCCCCCTCTCTGATTCTGTTAGATTTGGATTGGGATGAGAAGTCCCTACTAGGCAGCTAGCGTGAATACGATCAAGCAGAAGTAACGCATCATGAGTTCACATGGTAGTCGGGCAAAACCCCACCTTATGATGGAAGTGAAATAAAATTCTGGTCAGCAGTCAGACCTCATCGCTCCGGTGGTAGAGCATCAGGCCGGTAACCTGGTGGTAGCTGGTTTGAATCCATCTGCGTTCCAGATTTTCATTTCGCCTTCAAAACGTCACACGACAAATTCCTATGCCTCAATACTTCTTGAGGTTTATGCTGATGACATCATCCATAAAAACAACAGTGGATTCATCAGAGAAGCAACACTGCAAAAAATCTTGTTTAGTTGCGAATACTCTGCACCGTCTTAGTGTGAAATCACACTGCAGTATTGTATAATAATAATCACTTTATTCCAGACTGCATGGGATTGTCAGTAAGTGTTACTGAAATAAAAGTGCTCTCTGTACAATCTCCTTAAAAGAAATAATGACGGCATCCTAGTAAAATTGATTGTTACTGTATGATAGGCAATAATATGAAACAGTCAGCTTTTGTTAGGCTATCATCTGGTATAAATGAGCGTAATGAGCAGCAAAGTGTGAGGAGATTTACTGCTGGTGTTTCATTCAGTCCGAATAGTTTATTTGGAGTGTATTGTTAGAAGTCTAAAGGCCCACTGCATTCTAGCATCGCTGCTTCCTGCCTTTTATTGTTAACTTGCGGGAAGGTAGACAGAAAATGATTTTGAAAATGTGCGAAGATGTGAAAAATGACTTGAAAATATATGAAGAGATCAAAACAAGTTGAAAGACAGCAGATCGATGCAGTATATGCAGCGGGAAGTTTTTCTTAGCTCTATGTTTAGGCAGGATACCGAAGGCTTTCATCATCAAAATCATCATGTATGCGGGACCTAATTCGTGACCATTTCATAGAATAAATTATTCCCACCAAACTTAATATTTTGTCAACAAGTAACAGTATATATTTGCATTCTACGCCATTCCCAACCTTCTTAAGCATTTTAAATGGGATGTTCAATATCTTTTTCTGATATTGTGTTGTTGTAGAAGCTTTAATTTTTCATTCAGCAGTTTTATAATCATTGCGTAAACTTCTTATTTCTCAATGTTTACCAAATTCTATAAGCATTTTAGTAAATTCTGTAAGATTACTACTGAAACTGAGATTTGAGTAGTAGTCAAACGTACAAACTCATAAGTGAAGAAAATTTATCAGTCAAAGCTTACCTACCTAACCAAATGGAATAATGCTTTGTTTGGTCAAACACCATTCGAAGATAATTTTGAGGTTATTTGCATATGTCGTACAGAAGATAATAAGCGTCAAATAAATAGGAAGAAACATGCTTCCTGGATGTCACTGATAGCCACTAAGTGGACTGTAAAACAATGAATATTTGGGTAGTTTTGAGGCATCCACATAGGAGCCTACCTGTTAACAGAAGTCGAGCTATTTCATGTAGTATAACAATGAGAAATCACAAGTGCCGATTAACAAGCATCAAACAAGTTATGAGGCCGCTTGAATCCAGTCGGAATCTAATAAGATTTCCAATCTGTTTCTGTTCCTGCACCCATGGATCATTACATATGGTCTAAATATGTTTAAATTCATTAAAAATTAAATCAAAATATCAATATATCCACCAAATCGGTATGATCATCCTTTTATTTTGACGCTCTACATCCATAATACTCTGAGATTGTATGAAAATTTATTCCAATAAATTCACGTTCCTAAGATAAACATCGATGTGGTTGGAAGACACATAACCTATGAAGGCCGTTTTTACCAAATCGACGTCAGTTGTATACATCAAGATAGATTTATCGATTGCTCCAGATATTTAGAACTTTTTACCACTTTTATTATTATTTGTCCCATGGGTTCCTAGTGGAACATATGGCTTCAGTAGTACGTCTCGAGTCCACTCTCTTCTCTGCAGTCTTTTGAACCTCTCTCCAAGACTGCCCACAAGCTTTCACTTCTTCCTCACACCATCTCCTCCAAGTCATCCTCGCCTCAGACGCCCAACTAGTCGTTTCCCATTTGGATTCCACTCGATGGCCTGGGGTGTGATGTCCTCCATTAGGTTTTCTTAGTGTATCTCCAATCCAATCGATCTCCACTTTCTTCATCTGCATATTTGCATATTTGTAAGTTCTTGGTTGGTTCGTTCCCAGAGTTTCTTGTTGCTTATTCTTTCTGGCAACTTGATCGTCATCTTTAGTACTGAGTGTAGGCAGCTATCGATGAATGTCTGCAGTTTGTTGGAAATGCTTTTCGTGACGCATCACACAGAACCACTGTCTTGATTGAATTAGTGTTGAAAATCCGAGTCTTGTTCATGCTTTAAGCTGAGTGCAGTGCAGTCGATCTCCACACTGATTTCAGATTAATGAAGGCCTGTCTTGGCGTGTTTCCGATCCTGGCTGTAACATCCTCATCTGTGCCGCCGCCTGTAGTTGAAACGGTGCTGCCTGACTAGGTAGGTATATGAAAAAGACAACTTCCTTTAGACTTTCCTCGTTGATGGTGATTGGTGCTTGTTGTTGCTGTTGTCGTTGTTGGTTGGATACCTTCATCACCTCCGTCTTCTCCGCATTCACTTGAAGTCCCGTCTTCGCTGCCTCTCCTCTTCTGTCAACTTGTTCGTTTTTGCATATAGACCAACGATTTCCTGCGACGTTAGACATAAATCATCACCAGCGAAATCTAGGTAATCTTCTGAGGTCTTTTCATCGATCAAATAGAGTATCCCCATCTTCTCCCTCCTCACTGTTTACTGCATGATCCAGTTCACCACAATCAGGAAGATCATTGGTGATAGTGGGTGGCAGCCTTGTTTTACTCCTGTCTTCAACTCAAAGGCATCACTGTGCTTTCCATTGTGAATCACTTGGCATGTGGCGTCTTCATATAGTTGTTGAATGAAGTTGATAAAGGTTTGTGGTATTCCATAGTGTTGAAGCAGCTGCCTTTTTACCACTACTAAAAGTTAAACAATCCACAACTATAATGAGAGCCAAATGTCTGAGGTTAGATGAATAATTTAAAATGATTATTTATCTAAAACATCATGTTCTATACTTCATGTTGTAGAAAATGTAAACACCATTGAATGCCATATTAAAGTAATTATGCTTCACCTCAACTAGACATTTATACTGTTACATTTACAAAATTTAATTTAGCGTCAAATCCGAAGCACATGAAAGGTAAGTTCAGAAGCTGTAATAAATGTAAACACTTCATCTCTAACTACCCTTGTGTGTTACCTTAAAGGCTGTTAGTTGGTTGGAGGCAATCAACAGGAAGCCCTACCCCGTTAAGGTTTCGCGCTTGTTGGCACTCATCAGTAATATGTATGTGCAACCTCGACGGGATTGATATTCACCCTGAAATTTCCAGAAGCGTCATCGAATGCTGTAGTCAGCAACTTTGCCACTGATCTGTCCAGATAACTACCAACCTCCTGTAGGGGTCGATTAGAAACGCTGATTGGTCAGTCGAGAGCAACCAATTTCACTTTGTCTAGTCTTGAGTGCTAGTCGAATCCTATTGATCATTTTGAGATTTGGCTACCAAGCTAGGAGGTTCACCATAGTGACGCATTCTAATGAATGTTAGTTGGCTGGAGTCAGTTGGCAGGAAGCGTTGCTTGATATTAATCATTACTCGAATAGCTCAGTGGTAGCGTCACCAACTGGGCTCAAATTTCAGAGGTTAAAACTGCTCAGGTTTTAAAAGTGCCATGCTGACAAGAAGCAGCAGGCGCAAAAACTAGGTCAGGCAGGGATTCTTGCCGACTGATTCCAACTACATGATGTCCACCAAAATGTACCATGACTGCGAACCTCCTAGCTTGGTAGCTAGTTCGGTCAGTGACCAGTGCTAGATAAGAACGAAACGGCAGCTCTCCAGCTACCGATCGATTTATGTCTTAAAGGCTGGTCAAAAATAAATGTCGACTGGAGAAAATAAAAGCCTTACGATGATTCTATTGTACACAAAATTTCATTTTAGTCCAATCAAAACACAGTACCAAAACACTCTGACGGACCCTATCACCTCATCAGGAATATGGACAACAGGATCGATCGAACAGTAGGAAAATCTTCATGCATAATATGATATCTTCCTATTGTTCAGTACGATTTCAAGATGCGGTTAGTTGTCTTTTTAACTTTGGAAACTCCTGTCTTCCTTCAGAAATCAGTGACTTCATCTATGCAACCCTCCTAAACTTTGACCGATGTCTTCTCAGCACAGGTTGATTTTGTATACAGATGAATCATATCCACAAAGAAATTACAGTTATATTTTTGAGATGAATGGGGGTTTTAATTTAGAGGTGGTATTCATCATGGACTGACATCAGTTAGAGAACCACTGAAAACCTATGACTACTAGACACCTGTTTCACTGTAGTATAGGACTCCTCAGTGGCACGCATCCATGACCCGACTTTCAGATGGATATCACGAAGTTCAGATGATAAGCTGTGACCTGTGGGGTCAACTAATAGGAAAGGAAGTGGATGACATCTGGAAACCTTGAGTGAAAGTAGCGCTATATCGTGAATTGACAGAAGTTGGAAACTGAAAACCACTGAAAGCCTACCCAGTGCCTGAATGGTTAAAACATACGCCGTGAAACTTGGAGGTCCTGAGTTCGATCTGTAGCCGAATCGTAGATGCGTACTGCTAAGGAGTCCCATACTACGGTGAAATAGTTGTCCGGTGCTCCCAGGTTTTCAATGTTTCTCTCAGTTCATGATAAACACCAACTTGATCGTATTATAGCCCATTTTCATTTGATTCTCACCAGTCGTTCACATCATTAAGAGAATGTGTTCAAACAAATAAAGCTGAAAACACAGATGATTTTTCAAATAAAACTGGAGAAATCACTATGAAAACTTGACGTCTTCTATTTTTTCTTTCTTAACTTTTATTACAAAATTTCCAATAAAACTAACATCTCCAGTCAAATGAACTTATCAAGTTAAAATTATTCTCCCATTACTGTATGAATAAAGAAATTGCTTAAATGAATCCACTGTCCTATATGCTTTTATAGTTAAAAATTTCACAGAAAGGATAACTCATTTTATTACTCAGATAATTTAGGATTTAAATGTAACCTGAGTTCAAAGATGAATTTTGAATGTTTTCTAAAGCATTGCATGAGTTATCACAAAAGGATTCATTTCAAAGTAGTCCCCTGAATGCTGACGTATAAAATACTAGATTTATTAGTTGTGGGACTGATATTATACGGGATTATGCGCCCACATTCATAAGGTAGTCTTAAAATATCCCAAAGCTATTGTCCATTACCTTCTGATACTTTGTTGATTCTACCACTGACATCAATCCCTTATAAGAACTGAGCTCAAAATTTTCACTGTAATATGTTATATTGAATGGCACCGCAAATGAGATGGAATAATAAAGATGTAGGTGTACTAAGAATGTACTATTATTATTGTTATTATTTGTGCTTTAGGCTCCTGTGGAACATAGGGCTTCAGTAGCACGTCTCAATTTCACTCTCTACTCTGCAGTCTTTTGAACCTCGCTCCACGACTGACCCACAAGTTTTCATTCCTTCCTCACACAATCTCCTCCATGTCACCCTCCCCTCGGAGGCCCAATTTATGATCCACTCAGCGACCTAGACTAGCCTGGGGTATGATGTCCCCCATTGGTTTTCTCAGTGTATACCCAATCCAATCCATCTCCACTCTCTTCTTCTGCACATTGGTTGGGCGATTTGTTCTTGGTCGGCTGGTTCGTTGCCAACCAACCAACCAGCCAGACAGCCAGCCAAAATTCCTTATTACTTACTCTCATTATACTGCTCATCTGATCGATCTTCACTATCCAGTGTAGGCAGCTGTCGATGCATGTCTCCAGTTCGTCGGAAGTGCTTTCCATGATGCACTAAGTCGCTCAACCATCACATAGAAGCACTGTCTTCACTGAATTAGTGTCGAGAATACGCATCTTGTTCACGCATTATACTGAGTTCAATCAAGTCCACTGCAGTAGATCACAAAACTCATTATTTCACACTGACGAAGGCCTGTCTTACTGTCATTCCAATCTTGACTTTGACATCCTCATCGGTGCCTGTACCATCACCTGTAGTTGAAACGATGCTGCCTGACTAGGTAGGTATGTGAAAGAGACAACTTCATTTACATTTCTCTCACTGGTGCATGTTGTTGATGCTGTTGTTGTTTGGGTTGAGTATCTTCATCACCTCTACCTCTGTCTACCGTACGTTCACTTGAAGTCTCGTTTTCGCTTCCCTGCCTCTTCTGTCAACTTGTTGATTTTTGCCTGTAGATCGTCGAGTTTGTGCAACAAGACATTAGACATAAGTCATCATCGGTAAAATCCAAATCTTCGTGGCTGTTTTCATCGGTCAAACAGGGTATCACCCTCTTCTCCCTCCTCACTGTTTGTTGCATGATCCAGTTCATCACAATCAGGAAGATCATGGGTGATAGTAGGCAACCGTGCTGAGAATGTACTGCGCAACAGATATCACTCTGAAAATTATTTGACTTGTAGTAAACAGTAAACACAAACAAAGTCAAAAATCTCAAACGTTTTTCGTGTTCAAAGGAACTTAAAGAGAATTCCTTCCCTTATACCGAAAAATCACCTTTGATAAATTCCACTATCAAAACCAAGCTGAATGGGGAGGTTATTTGTCAATTTAGTCGTTCTCATTGTTATTCTGCCCTGCAAATTAGATTCAAGTGATCCAATCCAGCATTACAACAGGAAATTAGAAGTAACAATTAACAAACAAGTGATACCCGTTGTACAATAGGTAGCTCCCGTGCCTTAATGACCTAGTGAACGACACTCTGGTGTCTAAAACGATAGACGTTGTGTTTTAGTCTCATACAGAGCATCATCAATCATTCATGTGCAGGTAGACAGAGCTGATGAGTCCTAAATCACAAGAAACACACGTTATGGATTCCACTGCTACTCACCAAGATAAATAGAACAACATGAGTATGCAACAGAATCGAGACATTCAGATAGAAGCTCATCTAGCAACAGAGGATGAACAATTCATTCCAGCATAATGACTGAAAATTACATGTATCTACTTCTTCAGCCCTAAGAATTTTAACCATCTTTCATATAAGTGACCAAGACAAGTACGTGTGCAATAAAACTGTTAGAAATGTGTCATTATTATTATTTATTATTATTAGTCCCTTGGGTTCCTAATGGAACATAGGGCTTCAGTAGCATGCCTCCAGTGACCTCTGTTCTCTGAGATCTTTTGAAGCTGATCCCACGACAGCCCACAAGCTCTCATTTCCTCCTCGCACGACCTCCTCCATGTCACCCTCGGACGTCCAACTCGTCGCTTCCCATGGGCATTCCACTCGAGCAACTGGCCTGACGCGTGATGTCCTCAGTCGGCCTTCTCAGTGCATGGCCAATCCATCTCCACTTCCTCCTGCATATTTGTTGCGTGTTAGGTGCTTGGTTAGTTCCTTCCCAGAGCTCCTTGTTGCTTATTCTTTCTGGCCATCTGATCTCCAGTAGCGAGCGTAAGCAGTTGTTGATGAATGTCTGTAGTTTATTGGAAATGCCTTTCGTAACGCGCCAAGTCTCTGAACCATACAACAGCACTGACTTGACGATGGTGTTGAAAATCCGTATCTTGTTCCACATGCTGAGTGCAGAAGATCTCCACACTGGTTTCAGGCTAATGAACGCCTGTCTTGCTTTTCCGATTCTGACTTTGACGTCCTCGTCCGTCCCGCCTGTAGTTGAGACAGTGCTTCCTAGATAAGTGAAAGAGGTTACTTCCTTTAAGTTTCTCCCGTTGACGGTAGAAATGTGTCATAAATACATTAAATGTTTTAGATAAACTAGATATTTCAAAGCTTATGAGGATTTTATTGATTTTAGGTTGGTATTCATCATGGAATGACATCAGTTAGAGAAACATTAGAAACTTGGGAGCATTGGACAGCTGTTTCGTTTTAGTATGGGACTCTTGAGCAGTGCACACCCATGACCAAGTCAAACATGAGAACAGATACTCAACGACAGCACTGAATGGAGATTGCGCTATATCATGAACTGACAGAGGTAGAAAATATAGATTATTGTATTCTGATTCACTGGCTCAATGGTGACATGCTGGCCACGGAACCTGGAGGTCCTGAATTCGACCCCTGGCCGGGTCAAAGTGTTCACTGCTGAGGAGTCTCACACTAGGTTTCCAGTGTTTCTAGAACTGACATCAGACCATGATGAACACCAACTTGGAAACTAACTAGATATTCATATTGTTCTGTTTAAAAAACATGTCAAATGTAAAAGTGTCTTATGTTCATTTAAGAGCAATATTTCTTTTTATATCATGGCTCTGGGCTATAGATGAACGAAAGCTTCAGGCGCCTGTAATTTACATCTACTTGTATCGACTTGTAGTTGGAATTTTGGCGGGAGAACACCATTTCATTTATGAGTTTCCATGAATCTAGTTAGTAATACAGAAGAAAATGCCTGTCTCCAAATCTCCCCATTATTGTAGCTACATTATAACACTAAATTTCAGTTGCTCTTAGTCTTCATTGTTGATTTTATGGATTGTGATCATGATCATTCATATCCTAGACAGACTAAGGAAGTTGCTAAATAAAACTAAATCCGATTAATTGAATCCATAGATGAATCGTAAAGTATCGCATCATCAGTGGAACTCTTATAAAGTCAAAGGACTTCCATTATCAGCAATTTTATTGCTTGTTCTTCCGACAATGATTTATAAAATGGGAGTATTGAAACCTCCCCTCCCCGCCTTATTTAATTTCAAGATTTCAGGACAGAAATTAGTTAACAGGTCTAAAATCCAAAGAGAAAACCTACCGCGAAATAATATTTTTTGTTTGGTAGAAATAACGATTCGTAGCATCACATTGGATAAGCAAGCTCTTGTGTCTAATGAGAATACATCACCTCAGGAGATGGATTTGTTGGCTGTAAAACATTAGTAGATAAAACCATTCAAACTAAAAATTGATCGAAGTACTGTCGCCTAGGGGAATTCTACGGGTTCATTATATATCCCATCCTGACCTTGAACCCAGCTTAGCAATTGTATAAGCTTTTTCAGTCATCTCACTGAAAGTTCACCCTATTAAGTGATGCTTCGTGTATTTCAGCTTATCGTAAATCAGATGGTACGTAAAGATTATTTTTCAACTTAAGTCATATCTCAGTTTTCTTGTTAACTCATTTATTTCATTGCTGTAAGTGACGAAATTGGCTTCCCAAACGCACGTTAACTGTTGCCAGTATGCATACCCGTTATATGTGTTGATACCAACAATCTTATCTGACTAAGCTGCAATAAGTAATTCGTTGACATATAGTCAACCTACTTAAACATTTTTGCCAACATCAGTTCAACTCCATTGCCGCATCAATGATCACGAATCGACTGCTTCAGTCATTTAATGTTGAAGTAGTATTCACCACGGGCTGGCATTAGATGGAGAGCGATTAGAAACCTAGGAGCACTGGACAGCTCTTCACTTCTGGTATGGGACTCCTCAACAGCGCGCACCAACGACACAGTTGGGAATCGAACTCAGAGCCTTCAGGTTTCACGGTTAACACGTTAACACCATTCACTTCAAAATATGTTACTGTATAGTGCTCATTAGTGACTTGCTTTCGGATGGATATCACGAAGCTGTAATGAGAAGCCATGACCTGTGGAGTCAACCAGCCGGAAGTGAAGCGGACGCCAACTGAAGACGTTAGGTGATAGTCACGCTATATCATGAATTGACAGAAGTTGGAAACTGTCAACCACCTAACTCTAAGTCTGTGGCTGAATGGTTAACGCGTTAGCCGTGAAATCTGAAGGTTGTTGGTGTGTGCTGCTTAGGGGTCCCATATTAGGACGGAGCAGCTATCTAGTGCTCTCGGGTTTTCAATGGTTCCCCAACTGACGTCAGTCCACGATGGATACTACCTCTTAATTAAAATCCACATTCACCTCAACATAACTCATTTAATAGGCATTATCCGATCATAGTCTAGCCAGCTCAGCTTCATAGTTTTTGAATTCTGTACTGAATGACTGAAGTTCAAACTTTGAAAGAAAATGAATTTCCTAAGCCATCCAGATACTTCCAACTGATGACTGTCAACAGACAAGAGACCCCGATTCAAGAGCTTTCAATAGTTAACTGTCATAAACATATCTAACGATGAAATAAAGTGTACCAAAAGTTTGTGTCACTCAGCTACTTTGAAGCATCGTAAACATCACTGATGTGTACTAGTCAATAAATATGGTCTAACATATGTATCAATGGTCATCCATGGTAGAATTCTCGTGCACGTAAATTTTTGGTATTCAACAAGCTGCATATATGTGATTTTGCACTAAACGTCAATCCATAAACAAAGATTCTATTCACAGAGTTGGCATTATCGAAATATTCATCTGAACATTACTATTTCTATTTTCAGAGTAAAATATTTTCACGCTGTCTTTTTAACAGTGACTTGTCTTCATCATATTTAAACAGTATGAGGTTCAAAATTTACTCAGCAACCTTATGTACGTCCGCGCAGTATGCAGTGAAACAAGCATCGCAAGAGAGTTAATGGTGCTACATTACCTTGCTCCCCAAACCTCAGTAGGTGGAGTTGTGAACGAACCCACAACCCACTGGGTGGTAGTTAGTTCCCCTAACCAGTGAGCCACATCTCAATCACTTACGTTCACAGACGGTCAGTCATCAGTTTTACATGAAACGCGAGGGAAATGACGCGTTAGTTGGGTAGAAATAAGATAATTAGGATTTCAGATACCTGAAAATGTTTTAGCCCGAAACTTGTTGTGGTCCAAATCCACCTTCAAATTTAATCATCAACCACTAACCTTACCACAGCCCACCTCGTGTGTACTTTTAATTTTCCAGAATGTAAGAATCTGTTCAAATACTTAACTGATATCCACAATGAATTGATGGATATAAATGGTCATTAAGTATCATTTACTTGACAGTAACTGGATAGATAAACCACAGGTTACTCCATTTAGCTATTGATACAACCTGTGAGTAAATGTGTTTGGACACTTGAACAATAACCTTCAGATCCAATCCTCAATGGTTGCTCGATTCCTCAACCTCAAACCGTGTACAAAATACAATGGTTTGCATATATTTACTGTGGTCTTGGCTATTTTCAGGTCATCTTAGACGACATTCCCAAATGAATATGCCTCTGCAATCAATCTGATATTTGCATGTGATTATGTGTCTTTTCTCAAAACTTCAAAGCAAGACGATTGCCTATGATAGACTTCAGGGATTTAAGGAGCTCTTACGACGATCTAGGAAATTTTATTGGGCACTGTAAAACTTTCTTGTGAAATATGACTACTTCTGGTTAAGCGCATCTTCCTGATATGTGAAAGGTATTTAAGTATTAAGGCAAGTAAATATTTATTTGATAGATGCATACACTGAAACTTTGATTATTTTTGAGAATTCCTCTCACACTATCATCTTGAAAATACACAGTTTTTAATCACTTTTTCGAAGCTTTCAAATAAGTGCTCTTTAACTGTGAATGATTCCGTCAAAACTGAAAAGGTGGTATAAGTACTAATCATCAACGTTTAGAAATGGCTACCTGATGCGAAAGTATTAAGATGCATGTACATTTGAACAAATACTATTGATAGGAGGCATAAATTTCATTTTTATTTGGAAATCATTTACACTCCTTCGAAATAAGCAAATAATTTTAATGTATTTTTGAGATGAATGGGGATTTTTTAAAATTTAGAAGTAGTATTTATCATGGACTGACATCATTTGGGGAACCATTGAAACTCTGGGAGCACTGGACAGCTGTTTCGTCCACCTAGTATGGGACTCCTCAGCAGTAGGCACCCACGACCCGGCTAGGGAACGAACTCAGGACCTTCAGGTTTCATGGCGAACGCGTTAACCATTCAGCCACTGGGTCGATTTCCAACGGTTCACAATTTCCAACTTCTGTCAATTCACGACATAGCGCCACTGTCATCCAAGGTCTTCAGTTAGCATCCACTTCACATCCGACTGGTTGACCCCACAGGTCACGGCTTCTCATTAGAGGTCCTGAGTTTGATCTCTAGCCGGGTAGTGGGTGCTTACTGCTGAGGAGTCCCATACTAGGTGGACGAAACAGCTGTCCAGTGCTCCCAGATTTTCAATGGTTCCCCAAATGATGTCAGCCCATGATGAATACTACTTCTAAATAATTTTAAGTTTAACGTTTTCTACGTTAGTAATAAGGTGAATAAGTTCACTGTATAAGACTCTTTACATATTCAGAAGGGCAGATCTACTTTTCAGGTAACAGGTTATCCTAATACATAATAAATAATGATAAAGAGAATCGGATAACTGAAGCAACATACTGCAGTTCTCATCACACGAAAGGCTGACGTGTATCACATAACCTAGTAGGTGTTATAAACGCAGGTATTTCAGAACAGAATAATAATAGTAATCAAAGTTCTATTCCGAGTGAGTACGTGTGAAGGTTTAAATACACATGTGACCACTTAGTTCAGACAATCAAGTAAGACACTGGAAAACGATTCCATGGGATTCATGAGGAATAAAAATCATAGTACTTTCTGTAAATTACAACGTTCTGTTATGAAGTCCTATTTGATTGACACACTGTAGTGATATATCACTTAGGTTAGTGGACACACAAAAAACTTGGTGTATAAATTTCGATCAATAAAAAAAAGACTTCACAGGTCTGAAAGTTATCATCTTGTAACCAGTCGGCTCTTTCACTGTTTTCCAAATGACATTATCAATATACACTTCAAAATCTCAGTCAGAAAAATTGTCTGCAAGACGATACAAACCCATCTAGAGATATCCTCAGATAGTCTGTATTAAAGTTTGTGCTTCTGACGTTGAATAAAATAAAAACTGAGGCTTTACCACAAAAATTATTCACTTCGGAAACACAATGCTACCGCCTTACATAGGTTAAGCGGCTATAGGAAATAAAAATACTTATTCAATAAAATATGAAATAAAATAATACAACTTATAAGCTATTTTCCTCTGGAAGAGAAATAGGTTGAAGAACCATTGAGAAGATGAACAGCTGTTTCGTCCTAGCATGAGACTCTTCATCATCGAGTACCTGCAAAGGATAGGATTTAACACGGTCAGGTTTATGCAAGAGCACCGAAATTTATGGTCCAGTTTTAAGAATCCTTTCAAAGTAATTTGGTCATTTTCCTTTCAAACATTTTCTGTCTCACCAATAGTTTACCTAAAATTACTTTAAAGTTATAAGATTATCTGCATATAAAATTAAATGGATAAGAAACTAAACTAACCAGAATGTACACCGACGATTAAAGAAAAATGTTTTAATAGATGTTGCATAATCTTTGATGTGTCATATATCTTTTTGCAGTCTACTACTAATAGATGAGTTCATTTAGGCTTTCATTATATATCCCAACTAGGAAAGCTTCCTTGTGATATTAATTACACTATATCTGAATATTATTTAACTCACAAACCAAACAAGAAATAATCAGTAGTGTTCTACAAAACACACTTCTCATCAAGCCTATCTTACAACTGTAATCAATTAGAAACAATTACTAAGATTTCTCCATGTAAACAGGTCACATAAAAGATAATACACATTATTATTATTATTATTATTATTATTAAACTGTTCGAACTAACCACCTTTTTTATTTCACTTATTCAGGTGTAAGTACAACTAGAGATCACCATTTGTCAGTTCTGGGCGTTATAACCTCCATTACTATAAGTACACAGTTATCAGTCTACCTATGATCAAAATGTAAAAAGTAAAATCAGTTACCACTTTTACTGCTTCAATCTTGATTATTTACTTTTCGATTTAACATCAATTTTCAATGTCTCTTTTATTGAAATTCACTTGTAAACATTTGTTCTCAACTATCTTCCAACCTAGTAACAAAATTAAAATCGTTTCTTGAAAATTGTATTTGTATTGATATATATGGAAATTTTTCATAGCTTTTTAAGTACAAATTAATTAAAATATTGATAAATCCATTATTACTGAGGGTTAGAGAACCACATATATTTTAAGTAAGCGTGTTTTACTTAACCGCCTGTTTTCAAGTAAAACCTTTTTTCTAGGCAAACACATTCATTGATTTGTATATAAGTGAGCCATAGTCTTCCTCAGCTAAATACAGTTACCATTGACAACCAGAAAGTGTTACAACTTCAAATAAGGAATTGATAAGTGTAATGAGGCATAAGTCTCCTGTAATAAAATTCAAAAAACGAAAGCCATAAAGGTAATATAACTGTAAAACTAGGTCACTAAGTAAAATGCAGTTTATTAAAATATTCCTCAAATCACTTTACTTAGTTGATCTAGTACATCACTTCATCATCTCTGAAGTTCAGTCAGCAATAAGGACTACCTAGCATCCCAAAAGTTAAACCTTTATGAATGATCAGTACATTAAACGATATGTTAAATATAAAACGGTCCATAGAATACTAATGATAATAAAATCTGATGAGAAAACCAAAACTTTAAATAATGTGTCCAACCTGAAGTATACTACAGTACATAGTGTTGGTAACTTAGTGTATTCAAATATAGAAATGGAGCATCTGTCCGAGAGGAATACGTCCGTCTCAAATTCCTTCAACGGCATATGAAATAAATACCTGACATCAGAAATATACAGCAAGAAGATGGAAATATCCTTGCCTTTATTGCCACAATCTTGATATAAGTCAAAAGAGGTAGGTATACATAGGACAGCTGCCTATAGTGTATCTGTAATGATCACATCTAAAAAAAACCACAGTATATTCTAATTTATCAGAAGAGATGGCTCATAGTGATCGATGGACAACATGAAAATGGTTATTGACCAGTGACCAACCAAAGTACCTAATTCACTGCTACAGGAAGTTAATGGTAGTCTGAATAGCCTACTACTTGCGTCTTTGACTGTAGTATTGTTTAAGATGGGTTTCGATCTCTCTGGAGAAATATCAATTTACTCAAGGTTACATGAAGGCATTACTGATGAGTGTCAAAAAGCATAAAACCTAGTTACGAAGCCTCCTACTGACTGTCTTCAACTATCTAACGTACTATTGTCTTTTATAGAATAAAAGCTATTCTTCTGCTTATATTTTTTTCGAATAAAACCAAAGCTATTCACATGACGTTTTATTCATTCAAACCAGTTCACACTATCGTTTGTGTTTCAGTTCACTATGTCTCTTTATTTAAAACTAATACAGAATTCAACCATCTCAAAACTTGAGAATCAATTTCTGTATCTTCCAGAAACCATATAGTCAGGCGTATCAAATGAATTGTCATTGAAGTTTAGTTTAACCGCTTCCTTTATTTGGTCTTATCTTCATATTTTGATAGTTAGTTTACTCACTAGTAGTTTCACACTTATCTGATTCTCATAAATAACTTCATTTTCAGTTAATGCATACCAATAAATATTATCTCATTTTCAGCGGTAATTACTGTTCATAGTACAATCTAGATTGATGCATATTCCTCTTTAGCGTTAACTTGACGAGTGATAAAATAATTCCTAGTGCATTTGATAAGGTATCCAAGGACCTGTTGAGAACATTATTATTACAATTATTATTTTTCCTTTGTGTTCCTGGTGGAACATAGGAATTCAGGAGCACTCCTCCATTGTACTCTCTTCTCTGAAGTCTTTTCAACCTGGCTCCACGACTGCCCACAACCTTTCATTTCTTCCTCACATAATCTCACCCATGTCAGCCTTTCCTCGAACGACCAACTCGTCGTTCCCCCCTGGGTACCACTCGAGGGTCTAGCACGACGCGTGATGATCCCAGTCGGCCTTCTCAGTGTATGCTTAATCCATCTCCACTTTCTTCTTCTGCACATTTGTTGAGCGATTTGTTCTGGGTCGGCTGGTTCGTTGCCAACCAGCCAGCCAGCCAAAACTCCTTGTTACTTACTCTCATTATACTGCTCATCTGATCGATCTTCACTATCCAGTGTAGGCAGCTGTCGATGCATGTCTCCAGTTCGTTGGAAGTGCTTTCCATGACGCACTAAGTCGCTCAACCATCACATAGAAGCACTGTCTTCACTGAATTGGTGTTGAAAATCCGGATCCCATTCACGCTTTATGCTGAATTTAATGAAGTGCCTGCAGTAGATCACCAAACTGATTATTTCAGGTTAACGAAGGCCTGTCTTCCTGTCTTTCCGATCCTCGCTGGCTTTGACATCCTCGTCTGTGCCATCGCCGCCTGTAGTGGGAACGATGCTGCTTAGGTAAGTGTGCAGGTGAACGAGACTACTCCCTATAGGTTTCTCCCATTGATGATGATTGTGCTTGTTGTCGATTCTGTTGTTCATTGGATATCTTCATCAACTTCGTCTTCTCTACATTTACTTGAAGTCTTGTTTTCGCTGTCCGCCTCTTCTGTCAACTGTTGGTTTTTGTCTGTAGGTCTTTGAATTTGTCAGATATAAGAACATAAATCATCATCGGCGGAATCTAGGTAATCTTCTAAAGTCTTTTCAACGATCAAACAGGGTATCACCCTCTTCTCTCTCCTCACTTTTTGCTGCATGATCCAGTCCAGTCCAGTCGACCACAATCAGGAATATCATGGGTGATAGTAGGTGGCAGCTTTGTTCACTCCTGTCTTCACTTCAAAGGCATCACTAAGCTCCCCATTGTGAATCACTTGTCATGCAGAGTCTCCATATAGTTGTTGAATGAGGTTGATAAAGGTTTGTGTATTCCATAGTGCCAAATTACTTCTCGGTCGACGCTGTCAAATGCCTTTTCAAAGTCGACAAAGTTGAGGTAGAGAGTTGGCTTCCATTCTATAATCTCTTCTATGATGATGCGTAGTGCTGCAATTGATACCCACATGATTTGTTCTGCCTGAAGCCAGCTAACCCATTCCGGTTGAAACTTGAATTCAGCGCATTCTCAGTCTCTCCACGATGATGCAGTGGAATATTTTGCCTGAGGTGGACAGCAGCATGATTATTCGCCACTCCTTGCAATGTCACAAATCTCCCTTATTTAAGAGTTTGACAGAGTAAACCTTCTTCCAGTCTGTAAGTACCTTTCCTTCTTTCCAAACCTTCTGCAGTAGTGGTGTGAGCATGTCCGCTGTTGTGTCTGCGTCTGTTTTCAGTGCTTCTGGTGGAGTTCCATCTGGTCGGGCTACTTCCCCGTATTTCAGCAACCTTATGGCATTTAGGACTTCTACTTTTGTCGGAGGGTCTGTGTTCACTTATAGTTCTGCAGTTCCTGGTGGTATTTCTGGACAAAGTGTAGGTGGTGGTCGATTCAAGAGCTTTCTGAAGTGGTCAGCCCATCGTTTCCTTTCTTCCTCCTCTTGGGTAACTAGCTTCGTCTGCGTTGATCCCTTCCCAGATAGTAACCTCGTTATTTGATATTATGTTGTCAGGTCTCTGTTTCTCCAACCTGCAGACTGTTCTACTTCGTTTGCCAATGTGTCGCAAAAGTGTCTTTTGTCTTTGCACACACCCTCCTTCACTCATTTGTCCAGTGTTTTATACGTTGTACACAGTTCCTCTTCTCATTGTTCATCCTTGCACTGCACTGGTTCTTCTTCTGCCTCACCATCTCTATCGTTCTCTCACTCCTCTATCAGCTTCCATGTGTCCGTTGAGATCAATTCTTGTCTTGTCTTGTCTTGCTTCTTCTTCCTTCTTAATACAGTTATGCAGGTTTCTTTCCAAATAGCTTTCAAAGAGTTCTAGTGTTGATCCACACAGGTTTCTTCAGTGGTGTTGCTCGATATCTCCCATTTTGTCTTGATGGCTGACGTGAAGATTTTCTTTATAGTTTCGTCCTTCAGTTCAGTTTCTGTTCTGGGTGTTGAACTTCAACTGTGGTCTATCACCAACTTCTGTGAAGGCTTTCAGCTTGATTTTCAAGGTAAGTTCCTTGCACTAGTTAGTGAGTGGTGTAAACCTACATCTGCTACTCTTCTTGATCTTGTATCCAGTAGGCTGACTGCGTATCCACTCTCTTCACATTGAGATGAAGTCGATCTGATTTTGAGTGTAATGTGTCCTGGTGTCTGGTGAAATCAAATCCATGTCGCTTGCTTTGTGAATATCCTTGTTTTTGCACACGCTGCCTCCAATCACCAAATCGTTGAATGTGCAGAATTCTGCAAACAGTTCTGTATTCTTGTTCATTTCACCAAGTGCTTCTCCACCCATGATGGTTCTCTTCCTGTGTTGCCCGCTCCCAGTTTGTCACTCATGTCACTTCACCCATTACAATCTTGATGTCGCTGACTGGGATGGGGTTTTGTCTAGTACTGATTGCAGTTGTCTGTAGAATTCCTCCTTCTTCTCTTGATCTGCATTATTTGTAGGCGCGTAGCATTGAATGACTGTGATTGGAAACATTAGTCCGTATTAATAAACGCTAAAATAACTCGGAAATATAAATCGTAGACTTTTGTAAAAATATTCTGTTCTGTTCTAAATTACGTCATGAGTACATTAAGTTTCTCATAGGAAATAATATTTAGTAGTGTAGCCCTTCATTCACTGTAAATTCAGTGTTTACTGCGTTAAAAATTAAGAATCTATCTGGATAAAGGTCAGTCATTCTTGAAAGAGTCTTCCATTCGCATGTATTAAATTTTGTGAATATGTACATTTTCAGTTTCTAAAAAAGCTTCTGGATAGTGTATATTTTCTAACCAAAAACCCTGGCTGATGAAACTGCTGATAAAATGGCTTCTGTTTAGCCTCCTGGAACCCGAAA